CTTAAAAATTCAAACAACTTTAGCATTTTTCCATTTATTATGAAAGTATGCCAAATGGAAACAATCGTTTAAATAATTTTACCAAGAACTACAAGGTACTCTCTAGGATTTTTTGATTTTTTGTAGTTATAGATCTTAATTCGTCCAAATCAGTTCCCCAGGAATCATAAAAGCAACCTTATTCTCAATAGGACTAGACTAGACTAGACCCAAACTGAAATTATGGGAACTCTTGAATTGCTTAGCAAGTTTCCGAGCTTTTTTCCGAATTTGTGACCAAAATTTCACCACCTTCTTTAAGCGCTGGAATAGGCTGTTGAGGTTTTTTTCAAAAAATTTGTTAGTTTCCAAAAGGGTTTGGAACTCGGGTTTAATTTCGAAACATTATTTTCAAAAGTTTTGTTCATCAGGGCAGAGAATCGCTTTTAAATTTGTTTTTGCAAATCCCACCAAATAATTTTCATGGCAGGATCGCGTGTTCTTTGATATTTTTTCCTACGGACATTTTTGAGACGTCTTGATCCGTCGTCTATTATAATAGAATCGAATTTAACCTCGCATTTTGGTACTGAGGCAGCTCTTGCTTCAACTATAGAAGTAGTCAGAGATTCAAGAGCATAATTAATTTCATCTTTGGTTTGCAAAGGAATGTTTGGATCGAAGTTATATTCCATAAATGTTCGATACTGCTCCCAATCAGCTCTATGGTAATTGAAAGTAGAGCTGTTGGGATTACAAATTATTTCTTGGGATATTTCAAAAGTTACTGGAAGGTGATCAGAACCGAAGTCAGCACGAGTAACCAATTGGCTACAAAGTCGACATGAATCAGTTAAGACCAAATCAATAGTTGAGGGATTTCTTGCAGAAGAAAAGCCTGTTGGGTTGTTTGGATATTGAATAGTGTAATAACCTGCAGAACAATCATCAAACATAATATGACCATTGGAATTGCTTTGAGCATTATTCCATGAGTGATGTTTTGCATTAAAATCACCAATAATGAAGAATTTAGACCTCTGACGGGAAAGTTTCTGAAGGTCACCCTTGAGAAAATTCTTTTGCTGGCCTACGCATTGGAATGGCAAATAGGCAGCTATAAACGTAAGTTGTCCAAATTTTGTTTCAACAGAAACTCCCAAAGTTTCAAAAACTTTGATTTCAAATGAAGAAACAATTTTATGTTTGATTCGCAACGCCACCACAGGCTTCATCAAGACGATCATTTCTATAAATGAAATAATTTGCGTCCCTTTTAACCTTATGGTCAGGTTTAGGAACGTTTCAGTTATAACGGCAATATGCACGCTATAAACTCTCAAAAAGTTGAATAACTCGTCTTCAGTATTTTTAAGAGATCGAGCAAAAATATTTATTGATTTAAAATCCATTACTAAATTTCAAAGTCATGAAAATATTGTTGCAAATTTAACTCCAGTTTGAGTAGCATCAAACATGGAGTCAGTTTTCAGCATTTGATTTCTGTAAAAATTTCAATTTTATTAGCAGCTTCCAAAGTCAAAATTGTCAAAATTTCCGTTAGAATTATGTTGGCTAGAATTTTGATTTCTTCCAGCTGCAATAGCAGCATAGGTAACTGCATTTACTAGCTGAACATTGTTAGCAGTGAGGGGAGCAAGTATACATGAAGGAATTTGAAGCAGGGGAGGTATTTTTACTTACGGATACGAATGTAGAATTTGTTCCTCGCTGACTGTTGTTAACAGCAGAGGAATTTATACCTGGTGGGGAACGTGGTGCGTTTCCTACGTATCGCTCAGAACGAGATTGTAGGATCGCTTTGCGATTGGACAAAAATTGTATTTGAGGTTTTCACCACAATTTTAGCATTTAATTTGTTTAGGATCTTCCTTCACAGGACAGTCGTCCTTTGCGTGAAAGGAATTTCCACAATTCTAGTTGGCGTATATAAATTTTTGTTCCTGACACTTACGGCACTGAGTGAGGTTTTGCAAATTTCCGCTTCATTTTCATTTTGATTACTTGGACAGCATTAACTGCAAGTAATTTAGTCAATTCATCTTTGATCTGATCCAGGGATTCATCACTGGGCAGACCTTTAAGACAACCTTGAACAGTCGTTCAGTTTTAGTTTCGTAAGTAAAAAATGTGTGTTGCTTCTCAGTAAGGTACTTGAGAAGATGTTTGAATCCGTCCAAGATTTCGGCTAATACACGGCATTCACCCCGAACGAAGTTCAAAAGTTTCTTGCGAAGAGCATGGAAATCGGAAGTGGTTACAAAAATAGTGAGAAACCTTTTCCTTTTTGACATTATGCCGGGAATGTTATATGGAATATCGTCTGGATGCTAGATCATTCTCCTCATCCGGCAACATATCAAATTGATTGCTCAATTGAATTTCATCAGAAGGGGGATCAAGCGATTGCCCTATTCTTTTGCGCTGTAGAACCAAGTTTCTCCAAATCGACTTCCAAGCAGATTACTATAAGAATCGAAGAGGTATTTTCCAAATCGATATCCAAGCAGGATTACCCCGGGTAGGGTCCAAAAAAGGATCAAAGAGGAATAAGAGTCAAAAAAGGTAGAATTTTAACAGGTTCAGCACTGAAAAGTGCTGTTTGAATTTGGTGTAGCTTTTGGTAGCAGTAACACTTCCTTCAGCAAAAAGCCAATAGATCCACACAGCAAGAGAGCACGATGCGGACTGAATTACAACATTATTTTAAAAACCTTCCGGTGACGACATTACAGAATCTGTAAAACATTGCACATTCTGCATTCTTTTCCTTCAAATCTGTAATAGAACCACCCTAACGATGCATCAACCACCACTATGCGATAAGAAATCAATAAAAAAAATAAACATACACTCTTCACTGTTGGCATTATGTGTGGCCCAAAGCACCTTGCGATGATGCATAAATATTCGACCACCCATAGTCTACACATTGCACTTTAATAGTAGAAATCCACCCATAAAATTAGATGCAAATCTGCGCAAAATCATCCTCACGTGTTCAAGGTGCCATTGAATGCGTACATAAATCTGACATTTTACGACAATCAAGATTGTCAACGGATGCCGATAAATGGTATAAAATAGCAGCGAAAGCAAACATACTGAGCTGGCGTTTGGTGCGTTCCGATCTTAAACTAGAGAGTGCTAGAAAATTTCTTTTAAAACCTATAGTTGATAGTTCCTTGTATCTGCCTTGACGACGCAGGGCTTTCGTAGCTTGGCAGACCTTTTTCCTGGACATTGCACTAGAAGCACAGCAAAAACATTCGACCTGTTATAATGAGATGCTGATGGTCATGGTCATGGCGGCCGACGATCATCATCTCCACAGAGACGATAAGGAAGATCCATCGGACGCGAAGGTCGACAGCAGATCACCGTTGTTGTAAGGATTTCCATACCACATCAAGCGTCGTTAAAAAGGCATTATCTTCAGTAACTTTACGAGCCGTGAAGCCAATTTCACGTTTTCAATATATACAAACACAGTGTGACATTCTCACACTGACTTAGCCAAGATAACCTTTGAATCAACAAAAATCCACTCCATAGTGCCGATAGTTTGTGATGGCGCTCAACGACGACGAGCATTGGCAGTGGCACCGACGACGTCGGCTCATCCACTCGGCTAATATGTTTACACAGAAGAGCCATAATTCATTTCTGTTATTTACCTCGCCGATAAACTTATTTATGGAGATTGATTAGCGTTCGGTGTGTGTCCCGCTTTGACAGGTCTAATCCGCAGATTTCGTATTTCCCCTTCATTGGGACCTTCCATCCTCGAGAAGCTCACCTTCCGTGACTCCATTGTTGAATACCTAGCCTGATGCGGCTTCGAGCCAGTAGGGATTAGAGACGACAACGCGAGAGACTTCTGGTTATCTGTAAACACACATTCCGAAATATGCGACCCGGGGTTTTCCAATAACCCCGCGGTGAGTGGTTGCGGCCGCTTCATCGGAAAAAAATAAATAAATGTTAAACTGATAACAGAGTTGAGGGTCTTCGTGGACACGGGGAGCTGAGAAAGCGCGCTTTCTTTCGTCGTCGTACGTTATCGTTGAGGAACAGCGAGAATCCATTAGGAAATGCAGGAATTCACCAATAATGGACCTGACGACGATCGGGTGGGGAAGATGGACGTTGCTGATGGTGAGCGGGTGCAAAGGTAAAGAAATTTAAACACAGTATGGAGAGAGAGCCTTTTATGCCCCGTCCCCTGTGTTTATCTTATCTCCAGTGGGTGAGCAGCGTAGTGGCGATGCACACACTATTCATACATATGGCGGCGCGTCGGCATGTGGGGTCAATTGGAAGCTTGAATAGTACCAGCGGCGAAAGCGTTTACCTGTCACAACAGGAGTTCAATAGCTTAGAGTGACCTTGCAATAGGGTGGTGCACTGGTTCAGGCACGAGATTCGTCCACAATTTGCTGTCTTGAAGGATGTTCCAGTTGTTCACATGATCGGACACTGGTTGCTCGATGGCGGTCGAACCATGTACAGCTTTCTCCCGTAGAACGCGTTATCCTCAACCAATCACTCTGATTTTCTACGAATCAATAGTTCTCCATTGACATGCAAAAAATCAGACCGATTGGTAGACAACCCGACGAGAAAAAGCGGTGGGTAGAACTCAAAAGGTAACGCGTTCATCGGGCGATAGCTGTTGCAGAAAGTGGTCCAGCGCGACAGCCTCTTGGGCCGTAGTCTCCAAGGAATTGTAGGTCAGCGGACACGAATTTACGATCTCTTCTTCCTATTTCTTCATCATTTTCAACACCACGTGGTTAGGCCGTTGTGGACTGTCCAATATAACCTTCATCGACTCCTTCACGGACTTGACCATAGCTCCCTTCTATGTTTGGGAATTCGCACCCCTGATATTAACATATCTGGTCTCTGGATTTACAGTCATAAATCCCATTGACATTAAATACACCCAGCTAGTTATCAAGTTATTCAACAATTACCATTTCCCACTATCCTTCCAGGAATTCACCTGTGACGTATCGCTGGAAGATGGCAAGAAGCCTCAACCGCTGCAGTTCTCCTTCACGTTGTACGACCTCGATGGTCACGGAAAAATCACCAAAGACGTAAGTATTCACACCTTTTCGCGTTGTTCAACCACTAATGCAACTGCTTCTCCCCCGAACAGGACATCGCTGGCATCGTGTCCACGATCTACGAGTCCATAGGCAAATCGGTAGTAGTTCCTCATTACGGTAGCAAAACGATCAACGTTCGATTAACGGTATCCCCGGATGGGAAAACAAAGCCAGTGAACAGTTCGGCGGTGAAGAAGGCTGCCATCACGCCCCGTCGACGCTACCGACCGAGGAAGTTGATATCCGATGACGACGGCAGCGATACGTCGGAGAACTGCCCACGGGTAATGCGTGCCCGTGCCAATACGGTAGTGGCGAACACTACCATTAACAACAACGTCAAACCGAAGGAGATCAACGATGCGAAAGGAGAAGACGTTGTCGACGGACTGGCGAAAAGTTCCGAAACGGTGGAGACCACGTTCCATAATAATCTGAATGGGAAGGTAAAGACGCCGAACAACATCTACGAAAGCATCAACAACCTGAAGTGCTGCAACATTCAGGCGGCGCATGTTTCCAAAACGACCAACGCCTTGAACCAAAGTCCGGCTACGTTGAACAATTCCACCGCAACGACGGTAATTTGTCGGGATTGTTCGCTGGAAGGGTGCACGATCGACGAAACTCTGCCGCTGGGAACGGTAGTCATTCCAGCAGCTGCTGCGGCCACTACGGCTGCCGCCATCAGCAGCCGTGCCAAGCGGAAGGTTGTGCGGAAGTCGCGATCCTCACGGAAGGCTTCCAAGCTGACGGAAGAATTCAGCCGGCCGAGGGCACGTAGTCTTTCGGTGGGCAACGAGAACTGCTACGAAAACATGATCGGTAACACACAGGAGGAGTGCTGGAAGAGTTCACTCTGCCGACGGGAGCTAATCGAAATCATCCGGGATAGCATGGTGAAGAATAGTCTTTGTTTTCAACCAAATAGGTAATTTCTGTGGTAGATTGAAGGTAGATCTTGAAACTGACCATATCCGTTTGTATTGCAACAGGAAACCCTTGGAGAGTTCACCAAAGCATCGTCACCGGTCGCACACGATAGCGGCCCGCATCGGAACGGAACACTGTGGAGAATCGGTCATGGCAACGCAGCAAGCTCTGGTAGCAGCTCACCATGAAACGAACCTGTGCGGTTATGATTCCTATCTACATCAAACGATCTGTGCAGCTGCCAATGTGAATCATGCTGCACTTCATTTGAATGGTGGAGTGGTTGGTAATGGAGGAGTATTCACTGCGCTTCCCGTGACCACGAGTACCCCCAATCGGTTGATGCAGCATCATAGCCATCATGCTCACGCAAAAGCGAAGAGGTTAGTCGGGTGCAGAAGACTTTGGTAGAATTCGTCGATGTTCTAATTTGTTTCGTAATTGCAGGAAGGAGCATCGCCTAGCGGTGGCAACGCGAAATCAGGTACATCATCAGCTAGCACAACCGGTCAAGTTGAGCACTGCGTTGCTCAGCCAACAGTATCCGAATCTCTCAGCCGAACAGAAGCTGTCGCGATCGATCAACCAGGTCGAGAAGTGGCTGGACAACCGTAGCCCAAAGTTGGTCAACAAACTGAAACTGGTGGAAGAAATGGCCGAAAAGAGTCCTCGAGTGGCGGCTGCCAAATTGAAGAGGTCCAAAAGTAAAGAGGAAATCGCTCAAAAGCCGTCAAAGATTGATAACGTTGTGACGACAGATCTATTGTTGGACAACCTGAAGATCACGGAAGACATCGCGGAGCTGAGTGTGGTTACGCCTAAGAAGGCCTTCAACAAGGAATGTCTCATCAGTTCTGCTACCAAGAAGAACATTCGCACACATCATACGACGAAGACGGTTTCAACGTCGACTGCCGTCGCTTCTCCTATCGTCGACAAAGCATCCAAGAACGTAATCCAACTGCAGTACGCTTCCGTTCCGATCAATGCTGAACCGAGCGAGTGTGAAAATCTGATACGGATTTCCGATGCGGAAGAGGAACCGCAGCAGACCATCCCGCAGCAGCAGCAGCAACAACAGCAACCGCAATCGTCTGCAAGCACTCCAACGCATCACCACCATCATCATACCGGAACGAGCATGCTGGGCGAAAACTCCGGCTCGTCGGCATCGGCTGCATCGACGACGGCCGTCCATCGGTACGTGCACGAGCACATTCACCATCACTATCATCACTTCGAGAACGATCCGGACGAGTCCTGAGGGTTGCAGGAGGTCGGCGGTGGCACCCAAAGTTTGCCATCGCCGTCGTCTGTCGACGGGACGCAGCGGTTGCTTGCGCTGGAGTTGTTAGATTAGTAAGTGTTGGGTTGTGGGAGGAGATGGGGGTGTTTTGAGGGGATAGTTCGTATGCTGTGGTTGGTGGGGGCGTTGATTCGTGGGGGTGAGGTTTTGGAGGTGGAAGACGGGAGGGCAAGCGGTCGTTAAGGTAAATACGGTTCTCTGGAGAGGATTTTCCAAGGTCCGCAGAAGTCAAAAACATTCTTCAAGATTCAAGATCTAGAGGACTTTTTAGGTCAGTCCAGAGGACTTCTAGGAAAAGTTCAAAGCATTTGGACCGTATTCAAGCATCAGTCATGACCTGAGGAATCCAAGGGTGAGGCCAGAAGTCTGCAATAGCAAGTCCAGAGCAGTCTTGTAAGCGGTCACGGTAGTCGACACATTTTCTGTGATAATCGACTGCCTTTGCCTCCGACACAAGCAAAACAAGCTATCAAGCAGAAATGGTTTAATTTACACCAAAATGAGGAATTAGAACGAAATCACTCATGTCATGTGATTGTTATTTGATAATTTTCTTTTCGCTCGAATTTTATTCTCCCGGTTGTGTTGTGTGCGAGAGACGACGGTAGAACATGAGTGTACGAATACAAACAGACTGTCCCGCACGACAACGAAGCGAGTGTAGTAAAAAACGTCAACAGTTTCAACCCCTGGTGCAGAGGTCTTCGTCAAAAGCATTATCAATCCGCAAATCATGTGAATTTTTTAGGACCTCTCCAGAAGTCATCTAAATCGGTGTTAAAGGCCTTCAAAGGTCCATGGCGTATTCTAGAGGAGAAGTTCCTGAAATCGGATTACTAGGGCAAACTCAAAGGACTTAAAAATTCTTCAAGGATGAATTCAAGGATATTGCTAGATAGAGCTGGAATTAGGGCGTAACAGCTTTTGTAAACAATGACTTCTCTCGATAATTTCTCGAAAGTCATGGCTCGCCCTGGTAAATAGATATCACCATCGAGTAGGGAAGACTTTCCCTACCCGATGGATATGTTGGTTTGTGTAGGCGTGCCTTGAATACTTAGAAATCAACGAGAGAAGTCATTGTTTACAAAAGCTGTTACGCCCTAATTCCAGCTCTATCTAGATTGAATGATTCAGGATTTGTCTAGATGACTTCCTCATACGATATCAAGTGTTTGTATAAAGAACTGTAAGCATACACGTAAATCTACTTCAAATGGCTGATGATGGCAAATGAACATCTGAGAATATTTCAGAGCAGTTTAAATGTATCCAAACATCTAGATATCATCATAGGCAAGATCACAAGTTCTCAATGATTGATCTTTGAAGAACTAGACGAATTAATCAAGGTCGATCGAAGGGACTTCTGGGTCCAGTGAAAAATGCCTTCAAGGGATGGTTTGGAGATAGCCCTTAGAAAGTCCAAAGGTCTTCATTGGTAAATTTATATCGAGAGTTTGACTTCTAGGAAAAATTATAAGGATATCAATGGTTAGTCCTAAGAGCATTTTTTAGGAACAAAAATGAAAAAATCTAGGGCCACTCCAACTGTTTTCAAAAGACCGTTCAAAAGGATTCATATTTAGGACTGGATTACCAAGGTGAAGCAATCGGTTAAGTTGTGTGAGTGAAACCACTATTTGCGTTTACGTTGTTTTTTGGTTTACTAATAGAACGATATTGCACGATCTGCGCCCTGCGTCCTTTATTTAACGTCGGTGTCTGTTCCGCAATATAGTGCCAATCAGCGACGGACATCGATTGCTCTCCATTGACAACAATCGAATGTGCAGAAGGGCAGCTTCCACACCTGCGTAGGATATCGCACCCATTCAACACACATGGGCCGGGACCAACGGCTTTACTTCCCTTTGAAGGTCCAGAGATTTTTATGCCTCATAAAAATCGCACCGACCTCGGCTGGGAGTGAACCTAGACTCATTGGGGTGAGAAAGCAGTCACGCTTACCACTACACCACCGGCGCTGGCAATTGGAAGAACGAAATCACAGATTTCATATTTACTGATTAGCTTACTGATACTTGCGGCAAAGTGACAGCTTAATCTAATGGCTAACTGTCGAATTGACGTCAACGCAACGCAAACAAATCTAATTTGCTTGAAAAATAATAATTTTCTTTCCTTTGTTTACATCTTATCAAAACCGCTCACAAATTGGCACCTTATTTACCAGAGCAAAAATGAGAAGTCGTTCGTGACTTTTTCGTTATTTGTTTACAATTGCTTGATCGAGCCAATATTTGGTAAACTTCGGAATAAGCTTTAAAATGGTTATCAAGTAAGAAACTGATCAATATCAAGTTAAACGGTCGAATGGCAAGCCTTTCAATTCAATTATAACATAAAATTTTGAGTGCTTTTTTTATTCTAAATTAATTTCTTTTTACTGGCTCAATTGAATAAACATTACAGAGTCAAGGTATCATTTGCATTATACATAATAATTTAGAGTGTTGATCCTTATACTTTATCTTTCGAACGAATCTGTTAAAGGGACGTAAGCCTTGTTGTTGGTCCTGATCGTTTGTTTTGACTGCATCAGTTGGATTTTTTTAACGATCATTTTGAGTGATCCAGTACCACTAAGTTAACGATAAGAACATGGAAAACTCTTACATTTGAGAACTGCACACACACACACACTGATACGCGCTTGCATGCGCGTCTGTTTACTAAAAAGCTATGATGTGTGCGCACCAGGTAGCGCGGCGATCGCATCGTGCTCTTTCCACTTAAAAGCCGATTTTCTACGAATCAACTCCCCTCACCACAACCCTGAAACTAAAATATTGAAAGCCATTATAATACACTGATTAACAAATAGTAAACTAAACTGTAAGCCTAATTTATCTATATATTTAAGAAATCGAATCGCAAAGCGCGTTTGTTGGGTGAGTGCGAATGTCTGTGTGCGTGCGAATGACGTCGATTGAAGGAAGGATTTGATACAGCAACTGCTGCACTCAAATAAAACAAAAATACTAAAACAAACACAAACCATATGTACTTAAGAATCTCAACAAAGCTATCTTCCTAAACGCGGTATATAAGGACTCAAACGCAAAATTTAAACCTAAATACTGCCACCATCTACGGATGGACAATGAAAAAAAAATCGATCGAAAGCTCGTATACGTTTAAAATTGTAGAAAACTGTTCAACCGTAGCAACTGAGTAAAAACTTAACTGTATTCCTATCGGAGCAACGTGTAGCTGATTTCCAAAAGTCGTTTCTATATAGATCACCGTTTTTCACCCAAACTCTATCAATCGTCGTCTATTCTAGCAACCCATTTCTCACTCGAAGTCTGTTCTAAATTTCCCGTTCGTATTTATTTCGCATTCTACCACCAACTGAAACTAACTAACCTTTCCCCCGACTGCTGGATCAAAGTCTACTGAAGCATTTTTCCCACCTGAAAGCATCTCGCAAGCAGAGGACTTAGTTCAGTAAGATGTACATAAAACACAGACACACACACACACACACACTTGAGGATCGATTAGTTTTACACAAACTACAAACAACACATACACATTTAGAAACGAAGAATAAGAGAGGGGAAAATATTAAACAGAAACTTACAAGACTGATTTCACGTTATTATAATTATTAACTATGCAACTATTATAATTAAATAATTTTTATATCGTCACCCGATTCTGTGCTGGTATAGTAGATTTTTCATTCTATGTAAACAAGGAAAACAGAACAACGAAGACTTTGACCTACTGAAGGTTTTTCTCCATCTTTTGAGAGTAGTTAGTTTACTAAATTGTTTGGAACTCTTTTCGCTTTTGGGATTCAAAATGTTGTATTCGATGATGAAAATAAAAAATAATCGCGCAACATTCGGTGTGGATTGAAAATAAGCAAAGAAACAGATTGCTTAGTAGGAGTAAGCTTTCAGCGGCCATGAATTTCTATTAGGCTTAGGGTATTAAATTGTGTCGACAAAATTCGAATTTCGTAATCAAAATTATCGATACACAAGAAATTTATTAAAAAATAAACAAGTTCAGTTTCTTATTTTTTTTTTTGGCAAGCGGTGTTTGGCTTTGGCGAGATAGTAACTAGTGAAAATTATTAAGACGTCATATTGAAATTTTAAAATATAATTACAATCAAAATTATTTAAATTTTAACATGGCAGATTTGCTTTCTGCTTTCCTCCTTTCCGATGATGATTCTGATAACAAAAAATATCCTTTTCTAGTGGTCTTCAATTTCGATTCTTTTAGATTGTAAGTGGGTCTGATAGTTATAGTTAAGTGTTAAGTGGTTAAGACTAATTTATTTCGATAATTTGCATGTACATTTTAGCATTCATTATTTTTAAATTAATTATTATTATCATTCTCCTTTGGGAAGGACGTCGAAACAAAATATACACACAAAATGTTTGAAGTTTATGCCGATAGTTTTCTAGTCTTATCTCAAACCATATCCGAATATGTCCGTGCGTTTATTAAGCATTTACTAAATTGTGGGAATAATTTTCATGATGTAACCTTTTAGTTATATGTATTTTTTCAATGAAGATTATAACAAAAATCGTAAGTCATGCAAGTTTAACTAAATCCATCACCGCAAAGTGCCATAAATCTGCGCAGCGCCTAATTCCGCATTTCACCAAAATTTTGCAGTTTTTATCTAAGTTTATATTTTTTCCATACTCGAATGGTTAATACCTTCAGTTCAAATTATATACAATTTATAATTATTTTAGAAATTTTCAAAACTTCTCGGAATTAGGCCTTACGTGCGCATAATTATGGTAATTCACGGTAGTTTTAAAGTGTCTAAAAGTCCACGATCCAGGCTTTCTATGTCATGTGAACGAGATTTTTGTATGATGCCTGTACTGGTTCTTATTAAAAGGCCTTTGAAATTTCACTTCTAAGCGACATCAATGAATTGTACTACAACCAACAATCAATACGAAACTAACGATTTTACATTGGCTCACTACTTGACTAGCCTATTGGTCCCAAGCAAATCGACTAAAGTACCCCATTCTAGTATAAATTCCA